AGAAGATCTGGACAGACCAGCTTTCAATGAGAATATTCTGGAATCCTGGGGCTCCTCCAGATGACTTTGATTCATCTTGATTTGCTTGCACACATCGTACATGGGGATTATGCAATGCCCACCCTTTACTGAACCTTCATCCTGACTCACTTGTGCATATGTTATATGTCTTCCCATCAGTCACTCATTTATCCTACTCTTTGAGATGCATTTCCCCTTTCCCTAACTACAAAAAATGCAATTTTTAAAACAGCAGCTACGTTGCACTGGTCAACCTTCATCCACTTGAATTGCACACACATTTTTTGGTAGGTGATTGCATCCTGCCCACAAAATACTGACAGTTGAGAGGCGACGCTGGCTAGGATGAATTACTGGTTTGATTCTAAACAGTTCCACAAATGCACCTTTTTGGCACCATGCACCAGCGTCTTAAGATGCCTAGAAATATGATGGCTAAAGTTAACACCAACATAACTGTTGAAACCATGTTCAGAAAGAGCCTTAGAAGCTGGTCACTGAATCTGAAGCTGAGCAGGTAACAGTGAGACAGGGGACATGGTAGTGTGCTGTTTTAAGCTTGTTGGGTTTCCTTTGGGGAACTTAAATGTCATTTGTGAGCCACTAGATGGCCATCTCTCTTCCAAGCTAGTGGGGGGGGGATCACCCTCTCACTTTGCTTCAAATGATCAACATATTTCAGTTCAGTACTGCCTTAGGACAAGGGTATGCAAAAGTCAGCTATAAAAATGCAGATTCTTCACCAGAAAGGAATACAGCCCAAGGAAGAGAAAGACTTGAGAAATCCTGGAAATGGAAGGGATGCAATGCAAAAATGATAATGAAAGGCAGAGCCCAGCTTGTAGAGATGAAAGGAGACAGAGAAGAACTTGGGCGCCCATATGAAAAGTGTCTGAAGATCATGGGTTTTGCTTGGAACATAGTGTCTGTACTTTAGGAAGGAATCTTAAAAGGGAACATAAATTGTAAAATGAGTTCTCTGAATACTTTGATGTGGCTGGTTGTGTTTCATATGAATTTGGTCAGAGAGGGTGGAAATGTCCTCCTAGGTCAATGATCTGAAAACTGCCAGAAGAAGATTTATGAAGGTTTTCAATTATATTGAGCACTGCTTGAGTTGCCATTCCACATCCTTGTGTACGCACAGAAAGAGCCAAAAATAAAATGGAAAAAGGTTATTTGGGTGATGTGCAGCAGTGGATATAGTTGTTACATATGTTTCTTAACAGAGTGGAAACTATTCTGGCTCAAATAAAAAAACAAAACATTCTTCAGATATTTTTTTTAAAAGGAAGGATATCACTGCAACTAGGGATGGGTGAATCTGTCAATTTTGTTTCTCTCTATTTTTAATTTTTCCAGTCTTAAATTCAGTTTTCCACATTTCCACTTTGCAAATTTCTTTCAAAACAAATCTCATGAAAATTTCTCAGTATTTTTGTGTGAATTTTTTGTTACACATTGCCCAAGGTGCACATTTTTTTGCAAGGCAGTTTCCCCTAATATAATGCATTTTTAATTTTATTTTCACCAATATCCACATTTGATTTTCTTCCCACTTCTGGTATCACTGGAGGTTCATCCATTGTGCCCAGTGGCCTGGTGTTGTTGTTATTGAGTTCTAGGTTGGTACATAATAAGGGCATGTTGCTCCATGCATGCTGGTCTGTATAACTGAGACCTGGTTGGGGGAACTGGGTGGACCAGACCTGGATGAATTAGCCCATAGTTCTTCTGTACCTGGGTACTCTGTGTAACACCAGTCCAGGCCAGAGCTGAGCAGACCAGAGGGGCACCTTCCTCATATCTTCTATTTTCAGTGCAACTTTCTGCAAAATGCTAGGGTAGGTTAAATAATACATTTTTAGCCACTCCAATACTGTAAATGCTGCTGCAGGAAAACAATGGCAAATATTCTGAGATATCCTGTGTCTGCAAATTAAGATGGAGGAAATAATGTTAGACCTACATTATAGGGTCATGCTAAACATTAAAGAGATAATAGATGTGGAAATACTTTGAGAATTCAGGAAAAGTATTAAATAAACACTAAGATAAAGGTAAAGATAAATGACCCCTGGATGGTTAAGTCCATTCAAAGGCAACTATGCGGTATGGTGCTCATCTCGCTTCAGGCCAAGCGAGCCAGCGTTTGTCCACAGGCAGCTTTCTGGGTCAAGTGGTGGTCAGCATGACGAAACCACTTCTGACAGTTTATGCAAATACAGTACTGTAAAGCTGAAGAAGCACTTTGAGCATTAGTTTGCACTTTAATTTGATATGTTTTTGCTGTTCCAGTGCATTCCATGCCACTCCTCCTTTCTGAGTAAAGAGCGTCACTGCACTTCATTGCAAACATTTACATATTTTTACCTTATATGTCCAGTCTTCCTGCTTTGTTTCCTAAGGTGGACTTTCCTGTCATGCATTCTCTGGATAGCATGAACATGCTTTTTCCTTTCTTTCATCTACCTCTCATTCTTGACATACTTTGCAATCTTACATTGCACATACCGACTAAATCACATCTGCTTTGTAATTCTTTTAGTTATGCTAACTAACATGGAAGGCAATGGTGAATGGGCCATGTTTCACAGCTTTGTTTCATTATTTTGGTTTAGAGGGAGATAAATGTAGATTTGATGGGGATTCCTCAGATACTTACTTATGCAGAGATGATAAGAAAAGACCTAAAATCCAGCACATACTTTTCCTGGGCAAACTTTGTGTTGAAGCATTGGGTATAAAAGTTTTGAATGGATGAATGAATTTATGTACAGTCCACAATGCTTGTTACTCAATTCACACTTTTGACAACCCACCCGCCTTCAGCGATGTGCAATTTTAAATGTGTGAAGAACTATATATACTTCGCAATATAACACGCCCACGAAGGAGGTTTCTGTTCACGTTATACCATAGAAGTCAAAGTATCACCACAGCTTTCTTTATCTGTATTCTACCTTTTCAGTTTCCTGTCTGTTAAACCTACCTAGGTAACAGCAGGGAGAAACCAAAACTGACTTTCAATTCAAAATCTATATCAGGGCAACACTTTATTAGGTGAACCAAAATGTCACAAAACAATGTGCAAACATTCAAATTCTCCAGAGCCCTTTATCAAGCTATATGGTAAAAAGGAGGAAGGATGGCAACTGGGAGAGGAAGAGGAGGAAATATGCTGGTGGGTGGTGAAGACATGGAGTCTGCATTTAAACATAGTCTAAGGATGGAGTGTGTGAGGACGTTAGCAGACACTCTGGTGAGGGTTAGGTTGTGCATACACTGTACCTTTAATGTGCACATTCTTTCCCCCAAAGAATTCTGGGCACTGTTGTTTACCCCCCACAGAGTTATAATTCACAGCAACCCTTTATAAACTACAGTGCCCAGAATTCTGTGAGGGGGAAAAAGTGATTTGAATGTGCTTTAAAGGTATAGTGTGTAAACAGCCTGAGTTAGGTGCTATATAGGTTTCAGGTCGTATCGAAGGCTGCCATGAAGAAGGAACATACAATGATTTGAAAATGTAGAATTTGACTGTGATGTAACTGAGGTAAACTGAGCCAGACAAGGATACTAAAAGTGATGGGTGTGTGTACTGAGTTATAGCCAAAATGTATAGGACTGAATGTGGGCCAACCAAAACAGGGGGAAATTCATTCTTGAATATTTAAAAGTTTAATGTTGCTCTGATTTGAACTGCACTTACTTGTTTATAGGAAGTTTTGACTTAAACATTAGTTTCTAAAGTAAAATCACTGTTTAATCATTAAGTTGTCATGCAGATGTCTGGGATTCAGCTGCAGAAAAGTCCATTATTTCATCAATACAGTAACCAAATGAGTGGTCAGGTTGCCTATAAAGGTGTGGTATTTCTCAAAGCATGGTTTACATTTTAATATATTATATGTTGGTGCTTAAAAATAATGCATGATAATAAGTGAAATGAATTGAGAACAGGCCTTTTGAAAGATTATCAATATCCAATACCAAACTCATATATTTTCAAGCTCCATTCCTTTTTGATACATCATTTTTGCCCTCCACCAAGTTTTTGATGTTGTTATCATTAATTTATTTATGAATCACCTTTTACCTGTGCCCCAGGTGATTTACAGATATGCCATAAAAACAGCTATATTGAAAGTATATAAATAGAAAGAAAACTAAAGGCATTTTTTAAAAAAGAAAGAAAATGAAGGCCTAGGACAAAGACATTTTCACCCTGGTGGAAAAACTTGTTGAAAATACCTTCAGTTGTTTGTGTCTGGTAGGAAACAATTTTGGCCCAGTGGGTCTGATCCTTATCTCTTTTCCCTGCCATGGGCCAGCTCTGACATCACACCCTGAACCTACCAATCATGATTTCCCTACCCCACCCCTGTAGATTTAAGGCTTTATACTTCATTTGAATCCTCTGATTCCCACCCTCTATGCAACAACAACAACAGGAATGTAAAAAGCCAACTTTACTAAAACCCAGAACTTTCTAATTACTTTAACAATTATATGTGACTTGAAATTATTGCCAACCACTTGCTACTAGTGTAATGAGAAAATCAGAATTCTGTGATGTTCAGTCTTAATAGGAACACACACCTTGATTTAGTTCCTTGTGAACTCACTACTTTATTACTTTGTTACTAGCCAGCAAATATTTGAAGAGGCAGAATATGTTTATGCATGTTTAACTGGGGCAAAAAAATAAAAATAAAAATGCACACCCAGTTTGTATAGGTTTTGTGCTACATGGTACATATTGTTCGTTATGTCGGACATTTCCTTCCCGATTGTTTTTGGAAGCATTGCTCATATTTTACATAAACCATGACTCACTTTTTCCCCCTGTCATGGGCAAATATACAGTATGTCTTAACATCCCATCTGAAAAGTTCTCTGAACGTGCAAGGACACTTGGGGGGGGGGAGAGATCCAAGAGGAAATGCTTATCAGTGGCAGGAGGGAGGGGTGTGTGACCTAGTCAGTTTACTCCCCTTTTCTTGTCTGTACAGCTTCCCCTCCCAGAGAACAGCTGGGTGACAACAAGGAAGCTGCAGTTTACATACCACAAGAAACAGCCGGCTATCTTTTCACCTGAATCATAGGCTACATAACTTGAGACATTTTGGGAAGCCCCTTAGTCTGTGAAGGATTCAAATACAAGTTCCATCACTTGCTGTATTCCACACACAGAGAGAAAGACATGGATGCGTTTTCTGGGATGCTTTTGTGAAGTCTTAGTGGCCTTCTTCTTGTCTTGAATGAATTCTCCCACACAACGTATGTGACTTGTTTTCCTTCGTCTGCTTTAAAGGCCTTTAGTGAACACAACACCCGACAGATGCAGGTGGGCATGGAGGATGAGAAGAGAACTTCAGGCAGCCTGCCAGAGGTAAAGGAGTGCGCTGGCTGGACATATGTGTCTGCGGCAATTGGACTTTTCATTTTGTGCTAGGACCAGTAATACTGTATCTTGTATCGGGCTGTAATTGTTGCAGTACTCTAACCTAGAGGTTACCTAGGGTACTGTCTTAAAGGCACCCCGATTTCTCTGCTTCTTTGTCATGTATGTAGAACTTTTTCATCTTCCTGCTATGAAAAGATGCACAAGCTCCTGCTACAATAAGATTAAAAATAATAATTAACTATTGGCAAAGTCTTTTTTTTCTTTTTCTTTTTCTTTTTTCAAAGATGGTTCTTTGTTAATGTAAGATACAAAAAGTATATAATATTATAAATCTATTATTGCTGTGAACTCTGGAAACATATAGTTGCTTAAGTCACATTTTTTAAGGGGCTCCTAATATACACTGAAACAGTACCCAATATACATATGTTTTCTTTTCTTTTCATAGGATATATTGACAAAGAAGATGCCAATAGGTGTACTGGAACAACAGATTATATCATTGGAAAAACAGAGGCAAGAGGTAATTTTTAAGCATTTTTTTGGACAAGCTGATGCACTGCAATGGGTTGTTCACTTGGAGTTTTGGGTTGTAAATTTATTCATTAATCTTTCTGGAGGAAACCATGGCTAATCTTGCTTCTCCTATGCATGAATTGCATCATGCATGTGGTTGAAAATTGTGTGCATAATTATGGTTCATGTTTATATGTACATGTAAAATGTATCAGATATAGATGCCATAATAAAACCTGGTCTTTGAAGCAGCTTTGAGCTCAGCTGGACTTTCCTTACACATTGTGACCAATAGGTTTGGCCTCACATGTTGACAAAAAATATTTTGGAATCAAGGAGGCATATATCCACCTGTACAGTTGTCTATTTGAAGTAGCCATCTATTTGAAGTATTGTGTGGTCCAAGTCTGGTTTAAACATAGAGACTTAAGAAGGAAATTGTGCCTTGAAGTTGCCTATTGACATCACCTAAAAGGCAGAATGAGCAGGCACACAGTTCACTAGGTCTCCCCACTATGATGTATTGTGATGTATTTCTATTGATATTTTCCCTCTAAATTTTCATGTATACATATAAATTAGTATATGCAAATATTATGCAAATCTGTGACCTCTTTTGCCCTTTTTCTTGGTAGTGTGTTGTAAGGGGCTATCCTGTCTGGAATGCTTACATGATATAAAGGATGGGAAAGAAGCACATTTCATGCTGCTGTGAACTAAGTGAACTTTCAGAGCTGTGAGGGAAGTCTGCTCATCTTAGAAATCCCTGCAGAAAGTCTGGTGTTTAACATTTGTATTTCCACAGCATTAAGCCTGACTCAGCTGCCACTCTCAATTCGTCTTGCCCTAGCATTCATTCCTATGCTTTATATATCATACAAGGCAAACGGGACAAAATCTTATTGTAGTGTTTTGATAGTAATACAAAACAGCTGTAAGTAGTGCCGTTAAGAGGTTGGAAGCAGATATAATCAATAAAACCTTAAATGACCTGAGGCTTCCATGCTTTAAGAGCCACATTCTTCCAATGACTCTTGCATATCTCAGGAAATACCAGTGTTGGGGAAGGCCCTGTAGGTCACAGCTCACACCAGCTTTGAAACTTCCCACATTTAAGAATCCACCAAAGTCCTGTCCTCTGTTTCTTCTGAAATGTTTTTCCCCAGGCAAGAATTTGATGGTGATTGAGCATTATTTTACTTGGTTAAATTAAAATTTAAAATATTTATGTTTTATCACTATTCCTGTTCTGAGAATGAGGAAATAAGGCAAATGAAATTTCTAAAATAATATGCCAGTTCCAAGGTTAAAATATAAGACCACTGCAGGTTTCACACTTGTAATGTGAGAATAAATAATGTACCTAACACAATTAGTTAATAATTTCAGCTGCTGGCAGTGAACAATCAATGGGATCAGCAGTTCAGGCGAATGAAACAGCAGTATGGAAAAAAGGTAAATTTCTATTTAAGTGTGACAGAAGTGGAGGCTACCTTTCTATACTTTTAATTTGTTTTGTTTTGTCTTGTCTCATTTTTGAGAAGAGGAATGTAGAGTAGCAGAAAGGGTGGGCAAGGAACAAAAACTTATACTGGTTTTGAAAACCTAGCAAGTGCATTTGATGTAGGTTTGAGGTGATGATTGCTGCAGTCTTTTGGAGAGGATAGTGAATTCTGATGACCAAAGAAGCAGAAGAGTTTGGATTTGATATCTTGCTTTATCACTACCCTAAGGAGTCTCAAAGCGGCTAACATTCTCCTTTCCCTTCCTCCCCCACAACAAACACTCTGTGAGGTGAGTGAGGCTGAGAGACTTCAGAGAAGTGTGACTAGCCCAAAGTCACCCAGCAGCTGCATGTGGAGGAGTGGGGAAGCAAACATGCTTCATCAGATTACGAGTCCACCGCTCTTAACCACTATACCACAGGTTAGGGCAGGCATAGGCAAACTCCAGCCCTCCAAATGTTTGGGACTACAATTCCCATCATCCCTGACCACTGGTCCTGTTAGCTAGGGATGATGGGAATTGTAGTCCGAAACATCTGGAAGGCTAGAGTTTGCCTATGCCTGGGTTAGGAAGTGAAATTCAGAGATGGCACTGTTTACCATTAATTGTGGTCGTCTTCTTCCCCCACTCCCTTTGCTACCGCATGTGCACCTTCAGCATATAATGAAAACTGTATGGTGAAGATGTCGGATGCATTTTTGGTGAGGTGTGAGTTTTACAATTTGGGGACTGCCGCAGAGCCTACACCACCCCGAGCCTCTGCTGATCTTATCACCCAAGAGGGGCTCCAGATGGATTTGGCGTTGCCCTGGAGCACTGTGGGGTAAAAGATGGTGTCTACTACAGTAAAATGGCCACTCCAAATGATGCTAGGTTCATGTAGTTTGGAGAAAAGAAAATGGCAATGGGACCTGTGGAAGAAGTGTGTGTTAGTCTTGCAGCTGTTGCCAAAGGTAATGAAAAAGAGAAGACCATGATACTGCTGTTAATGCTGAGCTGTCCCATCCACCCAAATTTCCATCCCCAAAATGTTTGCTACTTGTGAATGGGGTTGTGAGCTCAGGAGGTTATCTGGTCTTTGCTCTAGTCCTTTGTTTAAGTTGGGTGAAGCTGAGTTCTGGGTCTGAAAAGGTTAGTGTTTTAGAACATAAAAATAATACTAGTAAGCTGTGATCTAGCAAGTTTTAAAAGTACTTTGCACACAGCATTTCAATAATCTGTACAGTGGTACCTCGGGTTACATACGCTTCAGGTTACATACGCTTCAGGTTACAGACTCTGCTAACCCAGAAATAGTGCTTCAGATTAAGACCTTTGCTTCAGGATAAGAACAGAAATCATGCTCCGGCGGTGCGGCAGCAACAGGAGGCCCCATTAGCTAAAGTGGTGCTTCAGGTTAAGAACAGTTTCAGGTTAAGTACAGACCTCCGGAACTTAACCTGAGGTACCACTGTACAACAGTCCTGTAATGTTGGCTGATATTAACTTTATATAACCAATAGGAATGTGGGCCAGTGTCTGAAGATTAGAATCAGTGACTTGTCTTTTTCTTTTTTTAGTTACCTGAAGTAAGATTTAGATCAGGGATTCCCCCTCATGCAGCACAGCTAACTCCCCCCCCCTTTTCTATATAGGTTTATCATTCCCCATGGGACAGCTCATCACAAGCTTCAGAGGCTCAGCAGCTTTTGACTTCTAAATCTCATAAGCTTAGTCATACAGATTTGTCCTGAAATGTATCTTACAGCATGTGGTGGTCCCTGCATTCCCATGTTGACCATTGTGTTGCCCGGCCACTGCATCCTGGTGAAAGAAAGGGATCTATCTTACCTCAATTATCCTTGTGTCACATTGCAGGTCACAGATGTGAAAGCACAACTGGAAACAATGCGGAAGACTGTCAAGGAACTGGAAAAAGAAAGGCACCAAATGCAGCAGGAGTGTAGAAGGCTGGAAGCCCTGGCCTCAAACAGCCTCCTACAGGAAATGGTAGGAAACTGTTGTTTTACTCTCACCAGGGTGGGGGTGGGGATTTTAGTATTCATCGGTCTAGTTATAGTTGTGTTTGCAGTTCAAAAATGACTGAAAAAGTAGAAAAGTAGTAGAAAAGTTATCTAGCTGACAGTTTGTGTTGCTCTTAGACAAAGAAAAAGAGAACAAATGCTTCTGTAGATGTTATATGTGCATTTATATATATGCATCTATACTCATTAATGAGAAAGGTTTCGGGGGTAAACTCTGAGGAAAAATCCATACCCACTGCCTTTCTTTGGTAGAAGAAAATGCTTAGGAGTAAACCCTACACAAGTCTGGAGTGGAGTCCCTAAGCAGTTGGATGGTGTTTTATATGCCTTCTTTTGGCAATTCCTGCAGCCAAGCTGGTGACAAATGTGTTGCCCTGTTTTCCTTTGGACCTCATCAGCGAGGCCGAGAGGCAGATCTCCATATGCACTGCCCAGGCCTGGACCCCAGAGAGGTCACTTTGGTGTTGCCAATGCAGCAAAAACAATTCAGGAGAAAACAGTTACAAGCCTCTGCAGCCACAGCAGGTGCTATGATTCTCCAGACTTCATCCCTGGAGGAGCACTCCATTGTCTCTCAAGACAGAAAAATGCCAACAGCAATGCATTTATATACGTTGAGCTATCACTTGGGTACAGTTTCAACCAACTCTTTAATAACAGGAGCTTTACAATCTCACTGAAGAAGAAGAAGAATGAACTTTATTACGGTCACAGACCAGCATAGGAAAAACATATACTAAAGTAGTGGTTAGGAATTAAACAGATAATTGTAAGAGCAAATAAGGACAAAGAAACAAGCATAGGATAAAACATGTGAATAAAATGCGAGATTAAACACTGATAATGGATGAATAAAACCTGGTAATAAACAGATAAGAGCTAAGAAAAATAAAAATTTAAAAAACACGCAGTTAAAACAACTGTAAGAGCATAAGGACTAATAGACATGCAGTTAAAACAACTATAAGAAGTAAAACATAAGGGAGTACAGGTCTTGCAATATGGGCCCTCAGTTTAGGTCTGGTTTGTGACGCAAACCATCCTTCAGTGAATATCCATCATGGAGTGCAAAATCTAGCAACTGAGTATGTGACATCTGGGTTTTCATCCTGGAGTATAGAATCATAGAATCATAGAGTTGGAATAGACCACAAGGGCCATCGAGTCCAACCCCCTGCCAAGCAGTAGGGAGTAGTAGGGAGATGTTAAGTTGTTCTGTACGTCCTGGGAATTTTTGCTGGACAGGCAATCTCACTGATCTCTCCCCCCCCCAATGCTTTCTAAGTAGCATAGAACCAAACATATGGAGGCTTTTGTAGGCCAATATCAGAGAGCTATTGTGCTCATGTCCTGCTTATGCGCTTCCCATAAGCATATGCAAACAGAATGCTGCACTAGATGGACCTTTGGTCTGATCCAACAGGGTTCTCCATAACTCCCCAAGGGCCATAAATTCAGAAATATGTGAAATTAAAATATTAGAATTTAAGAAAATCTAATCTGCATGCTAAAATTTTGACTAAGTAGAGGTAGAAAAAGCATTTGCAATGGAGAAGCCATTTATCAGTGGCCTTAGGAGGGATCATGGTCCACTGATGGAGTACACACTTTGTATATGGAAGGTTCCAGATTTAGTCTCTATTATTTCAAGTGTGGTCTGAAGGCACATGAAACCATCTCCTTGCTGAAGCTAAGCAGATCTGGGTCTAGTCAGTGTCTTGGACAGGTGACATGGGAATCACATGTATGTTAACTTGGGTTGCATGATGAAAGAAAAAGAGAAAATAAATGTAAGAAAATAAATCAAGTTGCACATGATGGGAAAGGACCCTTGCCTGAGACCCTGAAAAGCCACTGTCGGCCAGAGGTGGCAATACTGGGCTATATAGACAAATGATCTTGTTGTTTAGTCGTGTCCGACTCTTTGTGACCCCATGGACCAGAGCACGCCAGGCACTCCTGTCTTCCACTGCCTCCCGCAGTTTGGTCAAACTCATGCTGGTAGCTTCGAGAACACTATCCAACCATCTTGTCCTCTGTCGTCCCCTTCTCCTTGTGCCCTCCATCTTTCCCAACATCAGGGTCTTTTCCAGGGAGTCTTCTCTTCTCATGAGGTGGCCAAAGTATTGGAGTCTCAGCTTCACGATCTGTCCTTCCAGTGAGCACTCAGGGCTGATTTCCTTAAGAATGGATAGGTTGGATCTTCTTGCAGTCCATGGGACTCTCAAGAGTCTCCTCCAGCACCATAATTCAAAAGCATCAATTCTTTGGCGATCAGCCTTCTTTAAGGTCCAGCTCTCACTTACATACATCACTACTGGGAAAACCATAGCTTTAATTATACGGACCTTTGACCTAACTTCATCTAAATGTATCTTCCTCTTTTATGGTTTTCAAAAACAAATTATTAATCTATTTTCTAGCAGATGATTGGTCTTTCAGACAGAGTGAAACTACCCTTTTTCTTATAGAATCTGGCACATTTGATGTTAGGCAGGTATCACTGGAGTGACTAAGACTGTTAGTTTCATTTATTTATAGCTCTTGACCTCAGAAGTCAGTTGACTTTTGAGACAACTGAAGTATTCCGTTTACATTTCAGGTTGGATAAAGTCTTAGGCTAAGCTATCGTTGAAGCACAGCCAGTTTTACCATTAGGCAAAATGAGGGGTCCACCCCAAACAGCGGATTTTTGGTGTCATGAAAGGGCAGACAAGTGGGGAAGAGCCACTTGTGAGATTCACCCATAACTTTTCATGCTCTGTTTTTACTTCCTCTTAACTGTGTCGACTTTGTGTCTGGAATTGTTCTTGTTTTAATTATGTTGTAACCTACCCTGGAATCATATGATGAAGGGTGGCCAGAAATATTTCAAATAAATCTGGGGGGATCTCCTCCTGCTTTGTCCCGTCCCCCCCACCCAGTAAGTGCTGTCTGCCTTGAAACTGTAGGGTGGAACAAATTCAATATAAAATACAATTAAACCCCCCCCCCAAGAAGTCATTCCTTTGGCTGGGGATTGTGGGGCTACTCTAGTGCTCCAGCCATGACCTCTGCTGCCTCCTTGACAGACACATCGCCCAACAACAAGGCCTTCAGGGTGGTATTTATAGATGTGAAGGGGTAAGCTCTATATTTCTTCAGCTACCTCATGCAGTTTTATGACCTATATGTGCCACATGAGAGCCCAAAAGGTAGTCAATAGAATTTCATCAGACTTTAGTGTATCTGGGATGAGCTATCCATCAGTTTTGCTGCTGTTTTCTTTCTGATGAAGTTTGGCACGCTTCCTTGGAATAATAAAAAAAAATACAGCACATCTGTCAGAGCAAGAAAAAATGCAACCATCTGCACTTTATCAACAATCTATGTGTTTTTACATTCCAGAGAGACAAAAAAATCCTAAAGGAAGAGAATAGACTTCTGAAAGAAGAAGCCTCCTTAGCAAATACAAAAAAGATTCATTATGAACGTGAAATAAGTCGGCTTAACAAGGTAAGGATATTCTTGTTTCAGAATATTGATCTTTTTGCTTTGAAATCTTTACCTGCTCAGGTAAAGAAGTTTATCCAGTTGGCAGCTACTGTTTGTGAAGTTGGCGAGCATTCTTTTTGTCACCTGCTGCACTAATAGCTTCTGAGAACACAAGTTAATAAAATTACATGAAAACATTATTTGCAAAGAGCATGCTTAAGGTGGCTGTCTTTATTTTAAAAGAAAAACAGCCATGCAGGGCCCCGATCCTTATTATGCTGCTGGTCCAGATTGGGGGCTAGACCAGTACCCCACTGAAAATGATCCCTAATGCTATTTGCTCCCTCAGCTGCTGTTTTTAGTAAGTCGCACCTTCAGTGGCAAATAGCAGCTGTGCATTTGTGTATGAGATTTTTAAGGAGAAACCAGGTCAGGAAGAGGGTATTTTTTTGGTAGGGTGAAACATGTTTGAACCGAGTTTGTAGTTTGTCCCCCCTTCACTCTAAGTGACGTGAAGACTATTATAACAACAACCTACATTATTGCATGTTTACTCTGAGGAAACACCATTTGCACTGCACTTCCCTGCTTCACACTTGATGTGAATGCTGGGGCACACAAACAGGAGAGAGCTGTTGTGCTAATGCATTTGCTTGTGGGTTCCCATGGGCATCTGGTTGGCTTCTGTGAGACAGAATGCTGGACTTAAGTTTGGAGGAGATGGGGAACCTCCAAAATGCAACTCTCCTGCCCTCTATATCTGGCTCTTGGGACACTGTCCAGATCATGTCTCCTCTCCCCAAGCCACACTTCTCTCTGGCTATGCTCCACATTCTCCTTGCGTCCTTGTGCCTGGCGGTATTGTTTCCTTGAATTGTACTCACCTTGATGGGGGATGGAGAGATGTAAGGTGTGTTTGTGTGTGTAGAAACCTGTGGCTTCTGTGTGGCTGGAATGTTGCCTACTGAACGAAGGTAGGAGTCATGCCCATCCACTTTTGGCTCTGGCCCTGACCACCACTGGCATGCAGTCACTGGAAGGGAATGTGGTCCCTGAGCTGCAAGATGTTCTCAGCCCCTCAGACAGGCTGATCCATCTGATCTTTTTATGTTCTAACTGATTTTGCATGATGCAACAAATGCTGTAAATATCTTAGAGTAGAAGTAGGGAATCTGTGGCCTTCCAGACATTGTAGCTGTTTGGTAAAGTGCAACTAAATCTCCTTAGCTCCTACTTTTTATGTTTACTTTCCGAATGCCACAAATTCTGATTTATAGTTTATATCATATCACATCTACTAACAGTCATCTCAGTTCTCTGAACTCCCATCCTTTTGCAATCAAATGGTGGTGCGCTCACACAAGAGGCTGATTATCTGTATACTTGAAGTATACAGATCATTTTTTTAAGCCCAAAGGGAAGAGGAGTGTGGGATGACTGCTGAAAGGGTGAAAACAAACAGAAAACTAGGGCATGGTGAGGGAATAAATAATATGGACTGGAATACTGAACAGGAACACTCAGTGCTGCAACATTTTGTTGCAAGCCCCCCATGTATGTTATAGTTTATCTGTACGTTTTTGCCTTGTACTCAAGAGGCTGTGTGCCAAAATGATGGTCTCCCCCTGCCTGTGTCTCTTCCACCCTTTCTCTCTCGTGTACAAGAGAAATGGGATGATGTATGTCTCTCTTGATTATTTGGAGAATATGGCCTGGATCCAAATCTCCACATCTTAAGCAGCTGGAACTAGGTGCATGTAACCCACTCAGATACTCGGAACACCAAGAATAAGTTGTTTGGGGAAGGGAAAGCAGGAATAATAAATCCAGCCCCCCCCCCCATCTTGAAACTATGATAGGCAGAATTAAAGTATTCAACAGGGGCTATGCATCACACCCCAGTTCTTGGAGTAGGGAAAGGAAAATCATACAAGCAGCAGCTGTTTGTACATGCAGATCCACACCGAGCTTTTGCACACAAACCAGCCCTGGCTGGATACTCCAGGTGTATAGCCAGCTTCTAAAATGTTGCAAAAGAAGAATAGAAGGCCATTGCTGGAGAGGCATAAAGCATATTTCCACCAAAAGAGGCTACAAAAAGCAATGAGGGTATTTCCTTTTAACCCTATCTCCTGGTAAACCACGAACACTTCCTGAGGAAACACATTTCTCTGAAAAATAGTTCTATCTAGCTTTAAGCTAAGCGACAAAACACAAAACTTCAAGCATGAAAAATACACTGTCATTAAAATAAAAAATGTTAGCTCTGGTCCACTTGAATCTTGCAATTAATTACAGGTGGAGAAACAAAATGAAATGTCATAGGCTAGCATGCAAATAAATAATGACTTTCAGGAAGCATATTGTTGTTATTTACAACCCAAGATTTTTTAGTCATGACATAAATTGTGAGAATCTGAGGGTGGCAAAACTGCCAACAGTATTTTTCATTGCACACTAGTGGAAAGTTATAGAAAACACCTCAGCATTTACAGCTTAAATGCCTCCTCAACACCCAGATGTTTACCTATGGATATGATCACTTCAAGCTTTTTACTTGAATGCAAAACTCTCATGATATCATGAAATGAGAAGTAATTGGGAACTACCAGTGTGGTGGAGCAGTATGGTGGAGATGCCCTACCCTCATTGTCATTGTTGCAGCTTACTTGGATAAGGCAAGAAAATTAATTAATTAATTAATTAATTAATTTTTATATCCTGTCTTTACTCCAAGGAGCTCAAGGTGGCATACATAGTTCTCCTCCTTCCCATTTAATATTCACAAGAAGGCTAAGAGCACAGTCAGCCCAAGGTCACCCAGTGAGCTTCATTGTTGAGTGGGAATTCAAGCCCTGGTCTCCAATTTCCTGGTTCAGTGCCCTAACCACTATATCACAGTGACTGACTAAAGAAGTGCTATAGGAACTTACTCAGTGTTAGAATAAAATTATGTTAATTTGGATATATAAACATATATACAAGAATCCATAGGGCAACTGATACATTTACAGCACAATCCATTACCTGTCTGTTTATATGTACTTCCTGGTAAGTTTATATGTACTTCCTGCTGTGCAATCCTGTGCACACTTACCTGGTCCACTGATTCCCAAAGAGATGTCCAGGGTTGTGCTGAAAGAATGACACGATTTCAAATGGCAAGGAGACTTAAAAAGGTAAAGGGACCCCTGACAGTTAGGTCCAGTTGCGGACGACTCTGGGGTTGCAGTGCTCATCTTCCTTTACTGGCCGAGAGAGCGAGCGTTTTGTCTGCAGACAGCTTCCAGGTCATGAGGCCAGCATGACTAAGCTGCTTCTGGCAAACCAGAGCAGCGCACAGAAACACCGTTTACCTTCCTGCTGGAGCGGTACCTATTTATCTACTTGCACTTGACATGCTTTCGAACTGCTAGGTTGACAGGAGCAGGGACCGAGCAGTGGGAGCTCACCCCGTCGTGGGGATTCGAACTGCCGACCTTCTGATTGGCAAGCCTTAGGCTCAGTGGTTTAGACCACAGCTCCACCCACGTCCCTTGGCATGGAGGCTTAACATATGGCAAAAGAGAGCTCTGGAAGTGGGGGAAGCAACCCTCATCAAGAAGAAAAAATGACATAAGGTCATCTTTGGATAAGAGAGCCTTGAATACAGCACGCAAATGTATTGTCATCTCCACAGGTGTAAGCCACATGGTAACAAGAAAAGCCAAATGAGATCTCGTGCACATTTATTGCATGGTTAACAAAACATATTGAAGTCAGGTTACGATTTGGAACCAATTAGAGGAACTCTTAAATGTAAATGCACTTTGAGTTTGTTAGAATGTAAGGGGTTTTTTGTTTTGCCTTAGTTCCAGTCCTCCTCTCATTTGTGATTAGTTACAATAATATGCCCTATTTAAAGCTATCAGTTTCTTAGTTACTTCTAATTTTGAGGAATTAGATAGCTAGGACTGCATTGTGTTGGCATCTGTCTGTCTCAAGAGGCAATGGAGTATATATCCAGGGGTGAAGTTAAACCGCTGTGTTAGCAGCACTGGAGCGACCTCTCCACAAAAGCATGGGCAGTGTGTATGGAGGCCCTGAGCTGCCCAGATGACAAGACCCTGCTCTTGGCCTCACTGATGTGGTCAAAAGGAAAACAGAGAAATATGTTTGGCCCCACCTTAGCTGCAGGAATTGTTGGGAGGAGGCATACAAGCACCACCCACTCCAGGTTTGTGTAGGGTTTACTCCTCAGTCTTTTCTTCTTCTGAAGATATCCTGCAAGGCAGCAGAGGTTTCAGATCAGTTTTCCTTCTCCTAGATGGGCTACCTTTCCAGCTTGACGAGCCTCATCTGCCCAGCTAGGACTAGAAGTTTGGTTTTCTGATAACTTAGAGCACAATCCTAACCATGTTCATTCAGATGTCCTGTGTGTTCAATGGGGCTTACACCTAGGGAAGTGCAGCCTGAATAGTACTGTTGCCTAATGTGATTTTAATGATATAATATGCTGGCCAGCCTATGGAGAGCCAGTGTGGTGTAGTGGTTACGAGCGGTGGGCTTGTAATCTGGTGAACCGGGTTCGCTTCCCCGCTCCTCCACATGCAGCTGCTGGGTGACCTTGGGCCAGTCACACTTCTCTGAAGTCTCTCAGCCCCACTCACCTCACAGAGTGTTTGTTGTGGGGGAGGAAGGGAAAGGAGAATGTTAGCCGCTTTGAGACTCCTTCGGGTAGTGATAAAGCGGGATATCAAATCCAAACTCTTCTTCTTCTTCTTCTTCTTCTTGCCATATGTATGTAAGAGTTATTTTCTTTTATAGTTGCTATAAAGAATTACACAGTGTTCTATTTATCAGTTAAAGTCAGCATATCAGGGGCAGATGTATGTACTTCACATTGCTGATTTTTCTTGGTTCAGGGCATTCTGCTATGACCAGTTTCAAAATCAAATAAAAGCTTCTCTAAATACAGAGCAATCCTAAGTAGGGATGAGGAGAAATTCAATTCAGTTCATATTTAAAGCCTAATCTTTAGCCAAAATTGCATAGAAGGGTGTGCTTAGTAGGGGAAATTCTCACGAAAGTGTTTCTCAACCTTTTAAAACTTGCCCTTCTCAATGGAGGGTGCAATCCCAAACACACTTACTGGGAGGAAAGCCCCATTGAACACAGTGGGACTTGCACGTAGGTAAACATGCATAAGGGACGTGGGTGGCGCTGTGGGTAAAAGCCTCAGCGCCTAGGGCTTGCCGATCGAAAGGTCGGTGGTTCGAATCCCCACGGCGGGGTGCGCTCCCGTTGTTCGGTCCCAGCGCCTGCCAACCTAGCAGTTCGAAAGCACCTCTGGGTGCAAGTAGGTAAATAGGGACCCCTTACTAGCGGGAAGGTAAACGGCATTTCCGTGTGCGGCTCTGGCTTGCCAGAGCAGCTTTGTCACGCTGGCCACGTGACCCGGAAGTGTCTGCAGACAGCGCTGGCCCCCGGCCTCTTGAGTGAGATGGGCGCACAACCCTAGAGTCTGTCAAGACTGGCCCGTACGGGCAGGGGTACCTTTACCTTTACCTTTAAACATGCATAGGACTGCACCATAGGACTCCCTTGTTGTGTGGGCTCCACTGCCATGACCAGCCCAACCACAATAAAGGGCTCTGCAGGTGAACGTGATGAAATTCTAATATGCAGTTGAATGCAGCCTGGTGGGAGTCTTTGGACTGTGGTAATCATACTAATCTAACACTAAGTTTTAAAAAAAGCAAGAAAATGAGGTATTTGACTCCCTCAAAAAACTAGCATATATGATTTCCTCTCCAAAGAATCCTGGAAAATATAGCTCTCTGAGGAGTAAACTACACATCGCAGAATTCTTTGGGGGAAGCCATAGTTATTAAAGTGGCATAAATGTGCCTTAAATATTCTACCACCTTTAGGTTGGGATAATGGGACAGAGGGCGGAGATTGATCCCACAGATGCACACATATCTTTGCTGTGTGTGTTGGGGATGGTGGAAGCTGCCACTTTAGTCGAGATATCATTTTCTCTTCAGGTGTCTTTGCACCTCCAAGGAATGGGGGGCTGACCCCCAGTTTGAGAACTCCTCTTGTAACACAGATTCCCCAACCTTTAGGGATTATAAATATGTTAGTTAGAAAGGCTAATGAAGATTGTACTGCTTAAAAAGCAGTGATTTCTATGTAGTGAACTCCATGTGTAAAGTACTTTTTTTTCTTTTCTTCCTTTTTGGCTACAGGCGCTTCAGGATGCCCTGAAAAATCAAAGTGCCCCCTTGCATGTGACTCCTGTAAATGCCCAGGATATGAACTGCAACCATGAAGAGATGAAAATGCAAATGGAAGTTCTCAGGCAACAGGTATGAATGGATTGCAGTAGCATTGTAATTCATTTAATTCTAAAGGTAGAACTCCTTGGTTTTAACATGAACATTTCATTCTGTGCATGAATTCCACGATGAACTCAGAACCATTATAAATGAAGGTTGGCATTTTCAGTATAAAGTCTGGTTTTCAGATGTAGCACTACCATTTATACTAGAAAACTTCAATAATAAACAGCTAGATCAGCTCACACATCCTCCCCAACCGGTTGATCTATATTTACGTTTTGTTTTCATACTGTTATTTTAGTTGCAATACTCCTACTCAACTCACCTATCAAATGCCACCGATGGGACTGGATAATGAAGAAGCCACGTGCCCTTTCCCCATTTTTGTGAGACTACACGTTGCTCATGAATCATGTTCTTCTTAGTGCAAGACTTTTCTTTAGTTCAATATTCTAAGTGGACAGATAAATTAAAAGCATATAAAGTGTCCCCAACTGGCTCAAATAAACTCCATTATCTGTGGAACGGAAGATTGATTTAATCAGTGTTGCAGAACCTCAGGAAAAGATGTGCTGCTACCTCTCTCTCTCTCTCTCTCTCTCTCTCCCCCCCCCCCCCCAGTTTCCTTTTAGACAGGAACCCATCCGTTTAAAATTATGTTACTTTCCAGTTAACCTTAGGTTTTAAGTCTGTCATTCTGGACACTGTTAGAGTCAGTTGCTGAAATACAAATGTGTAGGATGGGAAGGCCCGTGGACTAAAATACTTGTTTCTGTCACGTTTGAAGGGCTGAGCCAGATTTTACTCTCATGTAATGCATGCCACATGTGGAAGGGTAAAGCCTTGAATTTGATTGTTCAATAATGGATTGTACACACAATAAAACAGAGGATATCATTCCCTCCCCCCCTTCCCCCTATACTTCAGAGGGCACTTAAATCTAGAGTCTTTTTTTCTTTTTTTTGTATCAAGTCATTTTATGCATCCGTTGAGACGCTGTGGAGTTCACACTGCATATTGGAAGACAGAAGGTTCCAATTCCATGTTATAAGGACATTTTGCACTACCTCCTTTAGTTTTCTAAGCCTCCTTCATGTCTTAGGCTTGCAGTAATTATAATAAGGGTTGTGGGGATGATATAATAAGGGGAACCAACAGCAGAGTCCATGGACCTGCCCCATCCCCCCTCCTCCTACCTTATCGTGTCTGTTTGTATGGAAAGGGTAGGAGAGGTCACAACCATTCCCCAAGACTCAAAAATAGAGGAAGCTTAGCCAAACACAAAGGACTCTACTCTTTCCCAAAGAGAACCAGGATGGAAGCCAGCTGTGTGAAAAAGCAGATAGTGTATGCCCACTGGCTGATCAGTATCAACTAAACATCTAGAGCAGATTATCTACTTGCTTTATGGCTTCGCCAGCACTGAATTGCTTCCACACTGTAGTCATTTCTTCGTTCAATTATTACAACTAATTTGAGAAGTTATTGCCAATGTGATTTATACAATGTCTTCCCTCACCTCTTTTTAAATACCAGGTTGGTGGTGATTTTAAAACAAAGCAGATACTGCAATTGCATCTCTATTCCTGAGCAGGAATGCTATTCTAGGGAGTAGGTTCAGTTAAAGCAAATGCTTCTGGATAAATGTGTTTTTGATCTCCCTTTAAGGCTGCATTAACACATCAGTAGTGCCTGAGTACTTTTCCATCAGCTGTGGGGAGAGATATTGCAGGATTGCTGAATACAGGAGTATACAGTCCTGTGTGGAACTACAGTTCTAATTCTGCTTCCAGAATTAATGTGGAAGAACCATGAATCAGCAGCACCAAGAAGTCCTAAGCTACATCAATACTATACTTTTAAAGCAATTCACATCACAAATTTCTCCTCTCAAAGAATCCTAGGAATTGTATTTTGTTAAGGGTGCTGGGAATGGTAGCTCTGTAAGGGATGCACTGTCTCTGTTTTGTGGTTGAAATTCAGAATTGACTAACTTTGGCTATAAGGTTCCGAAAATGGTATTTCTAAACTCTGGGATTCTGAGCACATCAAGTAGAATTCCCTGGGAATGTACAGGATAGACTGCATGACTCTGCATGGGGCTGATAATCCAGTGACTACAGTCACTGGTGCGTTATCACTTATCAGCATTTCCAGTAAGTGGTTGTTCATAATGATTTTTAATTGAAATCTTCCTGACTTACTCATGCACTAGCTGTCAGTGATTTGCTCCTTACAAGTACTGTACATACTCATGGGGGGAAAGATCATGACTGATGCAAGCCTATCCAGATGCACAGACATCGTCATCTTTTAATCTCTTTTTGGTTTACTGATGATGATGATGATGATTATTATTATTATTTAAAATTTTTAATAACTTGGTTTTAACTATTGTATTGAATATTTCTGGTAAACGGTTTGGAAGTTTTATTACAATCAAGTAGCATATAACTTCCATTAAATAAATAGCAGGAGGAATTGTGTCAACCAACACCAACACCCACCCAGCCCTGTCAATAATGCGGGAAATGGCAAGTCCCCTGTAATCCTTTAAACCAGTGATTTTCAACCAGTGTGCCCTGGGGTGCCTTGAATGATGGTCAGGGCAATACCGGCCTCTGTCCCTCTTTCTTTCCCTCCCTCCTATGATGCCCTCTCACAGAAAAAAATGTAGTTGGTCAAGGGAGCCATGGACTCAAAAAAGTTGAAAACCTCTGCTTCCAACTACAAGGAGACAGAACCCTTCATTGCATAATGGAGCACTTTACAAGAAGCACAGGTTTGGAGGGGTTAGGAAGGCCATTTTCAGCCACAGTCTGAAGGGAAGCAAGTAGTAGACCTATCTCTGAGCACCATTCCTATCTCTGAGCAGTGCAAGATTCCAGGGGATCCGGGTGCTTTTCCAGGTTTGTGTTTCCTTCAGAATGAGGCACAGTGGAGAATATATATTTAGGACGTATGGTTCATTTACACATATACAACCTGAGTCTACAATGGAGGGATTCAAAGCATTAGCACCCATTTCTCCCATAGCTGTAACCTTGGATTCAACCAGAAATAAAACATTGCGCTCTCTCTCTCTCTCTCTCTCTCTCTCTCTCTCTGTTCCTAGTTTGTTGCTTTGCTTCTAGTTCACATCTCTCCAAACTCTGCTCTCAACTCTGTCCTTCTAACTATCTGCAGGTTGTGGGAGGGGGGGGGAGGACCACACCCATTTACTGTCTCACACAGATCCACTTCCTTTGTTCCCCTTAATGGCCCATCTCCCAGGCGATCACCTCACCAGGAAAGTAGCCTTGGCTTATATTTTAACACTTGCTGAGTCCAGGGGTTTGAAGGGTCTCGGCATACAGCTTACTCCCCCCGCCCCCCGTGTATTCTTCTCTGCCACCACTTCTTGGCACAAACAGAGCAGCTGCTCTAAGAAAGTTTTTTGAGGGAGGAGTAGGGAGGGTGCTGGGCCAGGCATGGCTGTCTTCAGACTTGTTGAATCTGCTTTCTTTTTTTACTGGAACTTCAGCAATAGCTATGTGGGAAAGATGCAACAGACAGAATAAAAGAACAGGGCGACTCCTAGTGAAGTCTAAGCATAGGACTTTGTTTTCAGTACCAGAAATGAGCTGAACCCACACTCCTTTAACAAACAGATCCACACCTGGCTAGCTTTCTTCATTTCAGCAGCCTAATTTGAGTGGGAAAATAAAATTTCTTGTTAAATAATTAGGTGTTGGAAACCCTTGCCAATCTACTGCAAATGACCCAAAGATAAAACAATGTAGTTCCAATCTATCTTTTGCCCACCTCTGCCCTGGGCTGTCTCAGAGATTGCCACCTAAGGTGGCGTAGCTTAACATAGTGTGTATATATAGAAAGTGAGTGTGTAATCTGATAAATTGCCAGCAATTGTCTCAAGCCACAGTTGTCTCTCTTATAATCATACATTTTGTAAAATATTTGCTACAGTTGGGCATGGATAGTTTTTTAATAGAATCTCATTCTCCAATGTGCTGTTGTTCTTGTTCCATCCAGAGTTATTTAAAGATGTGTTGTGTTTTTCCTTTTTTTAAAAAAATCAAAGCCTTTCTGACTCTTGACATATGAGGCAGTGAGTGTAGTCCTGAAATACTAAAATTAAAGGGTGATTTACTGTTGACATAAATGGAATTCAAATTGTACCAAATGAGTTGAAATTTTACACTAATTACTTATCAATGGAATGTATTCATTTGAATGGCTAAACATTTTGTAATCATGCCTGCCTGAAGTTGCCAAAACTCTTAGTCCTGGAAAGTAGCTTTCTCTCTCTCTCCAGAGCTGAGAATAGCCTGTAGTTGTATGCATGTTTACCTGGGAGTAAGCTCCATTGAACACACTGAGGCTTACTTCTGAGTAAAAGTACATGATTGCTCTGTATATTACCATTTAATTTTGTTTGATGGATGGAACTAAAAGCCTGTGTAAGTATAGGGAATTTATAGGAAAATACCAAATTGAAGCCAGAAACCCCTATAATCTTTCTGTGATTGTTAATTGTTATTAATTATGTGATTATGGATTCTTTGATTAATTCTTATATCCACACCAAATATAAAAATCATGTAAAATTCTGCGAAACCTCTGGGTATAAAGGTAAAGGTCCATTAGGTCCAGTCGTGACCGACTCTGGGGTTGCGGCACTCATCTCGCTTTATTGGCCAAGGGAGCCGGCGTACAGCTTCTGGGTCATGTGGCCAGCATGACTAAGCCACTTCTGGCGAACCAGAGCAGCGCACAGAAATGCCGTTTACCTTCCTGCTGGAGCGGTGCCTATTTATCTACTTGCACTTTGACGTGCTTTCGAACTGCTAGGTTGGCAGGAGCAGGGACCGAGCAGCGGGAGCTCACCCCTTCGTGGGGATTCGAACTGCCGACCTTCTGATCGGCAAGTCCTAGGCTCTGTGGTTTAACCCACAGCGCCTCTGGGTATAGGGCAGTATATAAATTCAATAAATAAATTAGAGGGGAAGGTTTGTGAGAACAAATAACTTTTTTAAATTACCAAAATTTCAGAACCCACCATGACATTTCCTTTTAAAGCATTTTTCATGTAAATGGATAGACTTGCCTATTTTGTACCTTTTATAAAATTAATATTTGGGGCATTGCCTCTACTGAATATATATTACATTATCCTCATTTGTAGGTTCAGATATATGAAGAAGACTTTAAAAAGGAAAGATCTGATAGAGAGAGACTTAACGAAGAAAAAGAAGCACTGCTGAGAATTAATGAGAGAATACAGTTTCAGTTGGACACCCTAAATTCTCAGGTATGAATAAAAACAAATGTATCATTGCCAAAACATGTGCATTTCCTCATTTTCTCGCTTTCCATTCAACCCAATTCTGGCTTCCGTTCTTTTCTGGCTTCCGTTAATTGACACAGATTTTATATGAGGTCACCATCTGGGATGAAATCATTCTGGAGTAATGTTGGTGATGAAATGAGGAATAATTTGAAACCCACACCCTGAACACACACAAATACACACACACTAACTAAATGGAGTGACTTGTGACAAATGCTGTGCCTCATGAAATATTTTGTAACAAGCACCAAAGTTCTTTTTTTGATCTCTTGTTTCTGATCCCAGATAGTTTCAAGGGAATTAAGCAGAATAACATTTTCTGGCTATTCTGTATGATTTCTGCAACTAAGGCTGCATCTTATATATGTTTGCCTAAGCTCCATTTGCATACAACAGAGTGAAAATGCATTTATTCATTTTATGAATTGCTTTCCACAAGGTAAAGGTAAAGGGACCCCTAACCATTAGGTTCAGTCGCGGATGACTCTGGGGTTGCGGCGCTCATCTCGCTTTATTGGCCGAGGGAGCTGGCGTACAGCTTCTGGGTCATGTGGCCAGCATGACTAAGCCGCTTCTGGCAAACCAGAGCAGCGCACAGAAATGTAATTTACCTTCCCGCTGGAGTGGTACCTATTTATCTACTTGCATTTTGACGTGCTTTCGAACTGCTAGGTTGGCAGGAGCAGGGACTGAGCAATGGGAGCTCACCCCATCACGGGGATTTGAACTGCCAACCTTCTGATCGGCAAGCCCTAGGCTCTGTGGTTTAACCCACAGCGCCACCCAAGTCCCAGAAGGTATCCTGAAGCAATTTACTATATAAATATCGCATAGGATTGCTCCGCTAATCATCTGCACCTAAAGAGCTATAAGTGACAGTCAACCCATGAATAGATTTTGGAAGACTAAGTTGAAATCCTTGTTCTGCTAGGATCTCATTAGGTTAGGCCCTTGTATCCTTGAAGTGCTAGCGAGGAAACATGATAAGCTGAATTTGAATCCTGGCAAGATGGGGGCACTGTGGATGAGTGGTCTCTGTGCCCAAGAAATCAGTCAACTGCCTGCGCCCGACAGGATTGCACTCCTCCTGAAGGAGCAGGTATGAAGGCTGGGTGTGCTTCTGGATCCAGCTCTGTCACTGGAGGGCCAGAAAGCATCAGTGGCTAGAAATGCCCTTTACCAGCTCTGACTTATGTGGCAGCTACAACTGTTCCTGGACCAGGAGAGCTTGACCACATCGGTCCAGGCATTGTTGACAAAATAGGATTACTGCAACGTATTTTATGTGGGGCTTCCCTTGTACTTGCTCTGGAAGTTAGTGCCTTTAGTGCTGAATGCTGCAGCACAGCTGCTGGCAGGAGTGAGACCCAGTCTGCATATTACACCTCTGCTCAGAGATCAGCACTGGTTGCCCATTGGCTACTGGGCCAAGTTCAAGGTGTTACTATTAGTATATAAAGCCCTTGACAGCTGGGGACCAGCTTACTTGCAGGATCACCTTACCCATAGGCGCCTGCTCAGTCACTTCAGTCTGCATAACTGTCACTGTTACAAGTGCCACAAAATACCTTTAATGTGGCAGCACCATACCCTTTGGAACTCCCTGTTTTTGGCATAAGATGGGCACCTTCACAGTATTCTTTTTGGTGCCTTCTTTAAACATTTTTGTCTAGGGAAACATTGTCAGTTTGCATTTCTTAGCGCAGAAAGTATTGATCTGATGTGTAGAGATCTTTCCTATTCTACTTGATTCAAGAGGGTTCTGGAAGCTTCTCTGTGTGAAAGAGACAAGCAGAAGGTTTATGATGTTTAGGTTATACCTTCAGAAAAGCTGGCTTAAACTGGCTCTGTTATCTTTTCTGTCATGGTCATGCTGACTATAAAAGTAGGGCCAGAAGGAGCCTCGGTTTCACTTTGTCTTTCTGCCTCTCTTTCCTTCTGGTGTGGAGTTCTGTACATAGTATGTATAGTGTTAAGGTTTAGTCTTATTATAAGTTATTGTAGGGACGCGGGTGGCGCTGTGGGTTAAAGCCTCAGCGCCTAGGACTTGCCGATCAAAAGGTCGGCGGTTCGAATCCCCGCGGCGGGGTGCGCTCCCGTTGCTCGGTCCCAGCGCCTGCCAACCTAGCAGTTCGAAAGCACCCCCAGGTGCAAGTAGATAAATAGGGACCGCTTACTAGCGGGAAGGTAAACGGCGTTCCGTGTGCTGCGCTGGCTCACCAGATGCAGCTTGTCACGCTGGCCACGTGACCCGGAAGTGTCTGCGGACAGCGCTGGCTCCCGGCCTATAGAGTGAGATGAGCGCACAACCCTAGAGTCTGGCAAGACTGGCCTGTACGGGCAGGGGTACCTTTACCTTTACCTTAAGTTATTGTAAGTTTAAGTTAAGTCTGCTGCAACTGGATTTCTTATAGACAGTGCCAATCCTGAATGTATTGGATTTGTGACCATTATGTTCATTTGCCTTCAGTAGCAGTAAAGCTCTGCTGGATGAAATACAATAGCCTCTGGTCTATTTTTGGGAATCCTGCAACGTGTTTAATTTTTTACTCTGCTAACTATACCTTGGAATCTACGCTGGATCAATATTGAGTAGAATTTCTAGGACAAGCCTACCAAGACATGCAGAAGTTGCATATGATTTGTCTCTGTTGATTTTCATCATCTTTTGAATATTTTTAAATACTTGTTTTTAAATATATATTTTAATCAATTATTTTATTTTTATTTTTGTAAATGGCTTAAGGGTTTTCTAGCAATCAAGTGGTATGTAAATTTGGTTAAATAAATCAAAAGTGTGCTTGTGCCAATCACTAAGTCGATGTCGCCTTGTGGTTCCACTCTGTTATTTTCTACCTCCATCTTGCATCCTTGCTCATTAAGCATTTTATCCTTCTGCAGCCATGGCGCCTTCCTATAAAACATTATATTATCGTTGTAGAGATCATATGGTGTGATTTGACATGCTTAACTGTTATATAAGTAATAAATAAATGCAGTTATCAGGTTTGTTTGGGGCTTTTCGGGTCAACTTTTCTTGCAGGAATTGGAAAGGAAAGATCAAAATGTAATTCCTCACTTGTCAGGTGTCTCAAATGAAGAGGGAGTGGCAAGTGAAACGGGTTGTAATGATGCAAGGAAGCTTAATATGGGACCACAGAGCGAACAACAAAATGTTATTGGCCAATTCTGTGAACTAATACAGGATACCCAACCAATGCTTGTGCAACTATTTCCTAGAACTATTTGTAAAGGAGACCCATGGCATTCTGGGGCAACTTGCACTATGATTTAACTGCCCTTTAGGTTTAGATTTCCCCCCCCCCAAATATATATATATATAGATATAGATATAGATATAGATATAGATATAGATAGATAGATATAGATATAATATAGATATAGATATAGATATATAAAATTTAGCCTAATCTTCATCAAGTGAATTCAGACCGGACTGTAAAAATAAATATGTTGTCAACAAGTCCAGTTGCTGGCAATGGCTGGCATAATTTGTGCTCCCCCCCCCACCCGTGCCTTCTCATGAATGAGGGCTTTGGCCTTAACAAGCAAGAGATGTTCTGTTGGCATGACCCAAAACAATTTCCCTCACTGTTTCCCTCACCTTTGACTTTGGAGCATAAAACAAGTGTCTCCTGATGAACCTGTTAACTTAGCTCACCAAGCTTCCACAAGGGGGCATGAGAGTTCTTGATTTCAGCAATTGCTTTTTGATAACATACTTCTAGGCATGCATGCATGCATGCACTTTTTCAGTATGAAATTAATTTCCCCTACACAGGTTAAAGACTGCCAGGAAGAAAGGGAACTACTTGAGAAGCAAGTAAAGCAACAGGTGTGTGTTGTACTTCAGATATTCTTTTTCTAGGAGGCTCAAATGACACACAGTTGCAATCCAACCGAACTAATTTTGCTAATGTGATGAACAAAGAATTTGCCTATAGGACTCAGTGCATGCCATGATTTTGTGCAAATAGAGGCAAAGTGCAAAATATGGTCCTAAGTTGAAGCTAATTTTTTGTTGAAGCTTAAAGGTTCCAACTATTTTGGCTGCTTTGACAGAGTTGCATGTTAAGTGGACAATATCTGGTGAAATCTCTAAGCTAAAGGTGGACTCCATTCAATTTCCAGTACAGGGAATGGCCTTATCCCTCACTATGACCATCCAAAACAGATTATGTTGATTAAGCAAATTTAAGCAAATAGGGGTTTTTGTGCCTAATGCATCCAGGTTAGATAATTTCTGTCTTTTCTTCTCCTGAATTTTAATGTTTCATTGTGTAGAAGACTGTAGTTCCACTACTGGCAAACTTGTTATCAGTTTTGTGTTGCTTACTTAGAACTAAGGATGCAACTACCTGAATCGAAAGGCACCAGCTACCAGTTGTACATTGCAGTATCAAACCATGAGTACAGGAAATACTAAGATGTTGCTACTTTAATTGGGAAGTTTATTTATTTATGTATTTATTATTTCAATTTTTGTATAGGCAAGAGACCTCCAAGCACTTACAGAAAAACATGGCTTCCCACATCAGATGTTTGTTCCTGCATGTTTTAGTTGCAGGAACTGTGGGTTACTTCACCCTTACCCTGAACCTCAAATAAAATTGGCCTCGTGCAGCATTCACAGAAAGCAGCAGTGCCCAGTAAGTAATACTTCTGCCTGCCTTCGTTTCACAAAGTGGAAACCAACATTGTGCAATTACAAATGCAAGGATTCTGCAGGAGTAGAATAATGTGTGCATTGTGAAATGTAAACACTCGCCTCTCTTTCTTGCCTTGTCATTTCAATTTTTCTCTTTCTCTTTTTCTCAAATAATTGTTCTTGTAACTCATAATGTACATATTCCCATCATCTTTCAAATAGCTCACATCTCTTGCAGAGTATTTTTTTTAAAAACACCCTCTATATTTTCTCTCTGACCAGAACAAAATATATTTTACTCCATTCTTGGTATGCTTCAGGGCCCACATCCAAGTAATAATCTTTAAAACCATTAATGAGTTGGGGCCACACTGGTTGAAGGATCATCTTCACCTATACAAACCTGCCTCTCCTTTGAGTTCAGCCCCTGAGGACCTGATTGTGTGTCCTTCAGTGAGAGCTATAGGGTTGACCCCACATCAATTTGTGGAATTCCATCCTGAGACCCCATCAGTTCAGGTCTTCATATGGGCTCTGAATAACTTTGCTTTGAGTTGTTTTATCTTGGACTGATAACTGGGTTTTGCCGGAAATAGTTTTAATTATTTTTATAGGCTAGTACCTAAAGTGATGTTAGCAAAAGTAGCATTGTAACTCATACAGTTGCACATAAGTGTATAATAACCCTAGCAGTTGTACACCACCTTGCCTTGCAAGGGCAAGACACACATTAGATTTGACTGCTACACTGTGCTGGGACTGAGGCTCCTGCTAGGGGAATAATGGTTGTTCAAGCGGGTTGCCACAATTGCATTCCTTCACATTATGGTGAAGAACGCAACGTGGATGGAGTTGCCATTATCTTATTTCTCCAGGACAATCTCTTGCATAAGGCACTATGGAAGTGAATGGAACCTGCCAAGGACCACACATACTTAAGCTTAGATAGAACAAGGAAAGAGCCATAGATAAGCAGAGCTTTTGTTTAAGTATTTTCCCTTCTGTTTCTCTTCTCTTATATGAGCTTGTGGGGGGGGGGGAGGAGTTTCTCACTAAAGTTTAAAACTGAGGCCCAATTAATTTTGGCCGCTGTCCTAGAGCTTTCACCATCTGGGTTTCTAGCTGTGCAATGCATCCTGGGGGTTTATAAATTTTGCCTTCCTTTAGAAGACTGCTGGAAGGGTGGAGTCCTTTCCTGATTGGTTGTTTTGAAATCTATTCCCAAGTTCTTTTGTGATTGTTTTCTTATATAAGTGTGGCTGGCTCCAGCAGGTTTTTGCTTTTTTTAAAAATAATTCCCAAGCTATTTGTCATCAAATGTGAAAAGTGTTAGAATTGAGTGAGTGTGTAGGCTCAGCGTATGGAATATAGTACAGATACTTCGTTATATTTTGACTTTCTACTCCTTTTCTCCCCTAACTCACATTTGCTGTTTACTTTTCAATCATCCAAGAAATCTTTTGTTTAGTCTGATTTTGAATCATGTCTCTTTATCCTTTGGAATACTTTCAAGATCATAATTGTGAAAATTATGTTAACTGCCTTGCAGTAGTGTTCACACGTTGTTGTTTGGGTCTCTGAGAATACATCATATGTTTGTAGTTGAGTATGGCTTATTTTACTAGGGAGTGTTTTGCATGTTTCATTGAATATTTATCCCATCCATGCCCTGATGTCTTTGGGTAGAGGCTTAAAATAAAAAGTTAAGAGATAAGATATTTAATATAATTTATAGTACAAACTAAGTTAGACAATTGGGCCATCTAGCCCTGTTATATAATACCCTTTTTAAAATTAAGTTTAAGGTGCTTGTGTAACATGGTTTATTTGATAGAAAGCTGCTGGAATTCAGTGGTTCGCCATGTAGGTGTGACCACTTCTCCATGCCAGTGCAAAGATCCAAAAAGCAAGGTTGGATTTGACTCCATTTTTTCTCCTTGTAAAACATCTCAATAAGGTCTCCTCCAGACACCCTGTTTATGGAGCATTCGTTCTGGGAAAAGCTGTGATTTGTTTAAATTATGGCTTGTCCAAAGAGATATCAAACCCTGGTTTCTGGCTTGTTTAGATATCCATAGTTGAAATTAACTGCGATTCCTTCCCAGTTCCCAGATGAAATGACAACCTGCAGGTATCTAAACATGGAAGCGGATGCTTCTGATCTCCCTATTGTGAGTGTGCTGGAGAAATGGGGAGAAGGCTCATGCACATAATACTATGCTATTGCATTTGAACCAGGTCATAAAACTCCCAATCACTTAAGTATTACATCAACAACCCAGTTACATTAACCATTATATCTGCAGCAGTGTTACCTAATTGTGGTTACTTCTCCATCCGGGAACTGAAACCACATTTAAACCATTGTTTCATGTTCTGGAGCCCTCGCCTTCCATAACCACAAAAGTAACACCACTTCAGGTGTAATAGTTTACAATAGTTAGAACCTGAGCGGAAACTGGTGTTCCATAAGAGAGAGAGGTGGGCCTTTTGTGGCCTGCTCTTGATTGCCTAACCATGGTTAAGCAACCAGGATCATTCCGCCTACCCCATCTCAAAAGAAGTTTTCTGCATAGGAGAAACTTTGTGTGTGAAATGCATCAAGTCCTGCATCAAGCTTTGGAGACATAAGCATCAACACAGGGTTTCTCTGGCCTGTGAACTAAAGAAGAGCAGGGTGATTTACAATTTGGATTAAATGATTTGGATAAGGAAGTGCAGAGGAAGGATCAACTGCAATAATGACTTTCTTCTGTAAACAGAATATTAAAAATATAATCCCAAGAACATCAGTTTTCCATTCTTTTTTCAGATGCTCAGTATAGCAGGAGTAGGGAACCTGTGTCCCTCCAGATATTGTGGGACCACCAACTCTCATTTTAAAAATAAATAAAAAATTATTGAACTTATATACCGCCCTTTACCCACAGGCCATCAGCCCTAGTCAGCATGGCCATTGGGATGAGAGTAATTTATTCAGCAGCATCTAGAGGGTTGCAGGTCCCCCAGCCCTTGAACTACTGGAGCACTAAGGTGACATTTCAACTGGCATGTTGTATTATTCTTATTTTTAATTTTGAAAATCTGCCTTACGAAAATTATTCCAGTTTTGTAATTAGGAGCTGACTGTCAAAATCTATAAGAATTTGATTGAAATGTTGCATGTTTTTGTAAAAAGCTATTTCCCCCCTTATAATAATAATTCCTCCACCCCAAAAAATCATTTTAAAGTTCAAATGCTGACCTGCTGCCATTAGAGTGGGAGATTAGAATTCTGTTTTGTGAGGTCACCAGGGTTTTAAAAGAATCCTAGCAAATTGCGAACAAGTTCCCTTTGGAACACGTTCACCTGTCATGTTGATGCACGCCAGGTTTCTCTTAGCCTCTTAACAGCTGACATTGACTGTAGTTAGAGACCTAACTGTTTATGATAGAATCAGGTGCATTCCATCTCACCCTGTCTTCTCCTGCTCTTTTTCAAGGTTCACGAGGCTCTCGGAAATCTGGTTTGTTAATGTTAATAAAGTTTGTTTTGATTTGTGAGATCTAGGAGGTTTCACACAACTCTTTAATATTGTGCTCACCATCCAAAAGACACAGCAATAAAAAGAAAAAGAAAAAAAACAGCTGAAGAACTTAATCAGGAAAAAAAATTATTTGATCAAAATAAGAAGGAGATTTTGGGGGTAAATTACTTTGGTATGACTAATGAAAGGCTTCACAGTATAATTATATTTACCATGCTGCTATTCTTTTGTTTGAAGTGTCTATGAAGTCCATATTGCTGTAATAATGTTTTATTGTTCTGCGCAGCCAGACTATCAATGGTATGTTCCCGACCGGTTTCCGCCAGATGTGCCGCACAAGGCAAATGGTAAGGCAACAGCTGTACTGAACACACTTTTTAAGAGTTTCTTTTTAATGGGGTCTCTCTCTCTCTCTCTCTCTCTCTCTCTCTCTCTCTCTCTCTTGGTGATCAGTAGTAAACTTTCATAGGTACCCAGTGTGTGATTTGTATACAGCTCTATTTTGTACAACTACAATATATGCATGCAGCCAAGGCTGTGAATTCTAAATATAATGCATTTGTGTACAGCTTTTGGTATTGCCAAGCTACTTTAAAACATCTAACATGTCTTAAAGAATCATATAAATCCCTTACTGAACACCTAAGAAAAATGAAGGATATTGGTATTGCAGTGCTCAATTCATAACTTGGTTGACAGTTGAGCAAATGGTGCATCTAATATATGGTCTCTAAGGAGCTCAGTCTAGCCACTGTGGGCCTTTCCTACAGCCAGTAGAGAGGACAGTGGCTGATGTCAAATCTAGCTAAGACTTTGCTACCCTAACACTGCCACCATTCTGTCTTCACACCAAATAAGTTCAAAGGCCATGCAAGATAATTATTAGTCCACACACCTCAACTCTTCTGGTTTAAGGGACCCACGGATGATGTCATATCTGCAGGTCCCCCAAAATCCTGGAGAAAACACTTTCCAATATATCTTATCCAATTCTATTTGCCGCATTTTCAAGTGTGTAGCTGGTTCAGCCTCAGCTCAACCTTATAGAATAGGAACATGTTTTCCCTAGAAACACAAATCACTCTGGCTTCTCTTAGGCTAAGCTGAAGCTGCTGGGCAACTTAATTTGTTTGTTTGTTTGTCAAGTAACAGTACAATTAGTTCTGAAGCATTTGCACACTATCTTAATACATTTTCCTCTCTGTTTGCACATTCCTTTCCTATTCTTTCCTGTTTGTTGTAAGCACCCCTGGAGAAGGAAAATGTTTTTGTTTCAGAGGCTGTATGGTAGAGGTGGGCAGAAGTAGAATTTGGTCCACCAATAAACCCTTGGCCACTTTATGGTGGGCCAGCTAATGCTTGGCGGTTGCTGGGATGCTTGCAAGGAATACTGAATTAGGTGGAGTTTGATCTTATACAGGAACCACTTACATTCTTAAACAAGAATTCAGGCTCTTTCAACATGGAATATTAACAGTTAACGTGGGCTAGTTGTGCATTAACTGATAAAAAATCCTAATCAGCATGGATTCCAGGTTCAGATGGAGCGGGGTGTGTGGCGTGACACATGAGCAAGATTATTCCAGTGGACTCTCCCCATAACAGGCCATCACCTGCTCACTACTGTTCATTTGCATGCCAGTCCTTCTTTCCTTGGTATTGCCTTCCAGCAAAGCAAGCCCTATCATTTGGAGGAGGGTGGCAGCTGCATTAGGCATCTGTTGGTCCATACAGTTAAAAGTAGAACATGCTAGACTGATAGTAACCCACCTCTTCTGTGAGTGTGAAGGACATATTTTCCTGTCCCTCATCCTATCAGAGCAGGAAGAAATGCAGGAAGCCTAAGCAACTGTCATGGGCAGAACAAATGGATTTGTAGTTTGGGACATTTGTAGACTTGTTGGGATCATACTGAACTAGTTGTGGGGTGGGGGTCTATCAGAGTCATTTAAGTCTGAGAATTGCAAAAGTAGGTTCCTTACTAGAAGGCGCAAGAGGCATTTATTTTGAGTTGCTTATAGGACAGCAAATGGGAAGAGAAGATGGGATTAGAGCCATGCACAATTTTGTACTGCAGACATTAGATAGCCTTGGGATTGCCAGATCTCTCACTTTGATAATGGAAATCCAATTGTGAAGACTGCATGGCTAAAAGATACTGGAGCGCGATTCCTTATAGAGGCACAGACTGTCATGGAAAGGATGTCGGTGCAATACCCCAATGTGTAGATGGTTAGAAAGTGAAATTTTATGCACTTCCAAACCCTTCTGTGACCTTGTGCAAATGTATTTTGATGAGTCCCACTTGCTCAGAATTTTACAACAGTCCCTTGCAGATTGTTTCACAAATGAAGCATGAGATATCCAGAAAACTGCCTGTTGTTCTTAGAACTAAAGCTCCTTACAAGCCATGAATTGGTTAGCCATAAGATTGCTTGGTAAGCTCTCCATATGAAAACTCTGCAGCCCTTATAAGTACTTAATAACTTGAGAGCGTAAAGCTTAGCCTTGCTGAGCCAGCTAACCTAGGAGATCAAGTTGGCTGGCTGCATGCATTGAAGCCTTTAAGTGCTTAAAAGCTTCAGTTTATAAAGTTGTTGTTGTGGTTTGGGGGGCCAGCTGTCCCCGGGGAAACACATGACTTTGACAAGGAAAAGCAATCTTCAGCTTTGGGAAAAGGCATTTGGAAAGTGCATGAAATTTCCTTCGATGTTTTGATTTGTTTACATGTTCGATCTGCAAATGAGAGCCTGAAGAAAGGAGAGAAAATCTTGGAATAAGCGACCAAGTAAATAAGTGTACTTATAGAAGGGTAGTTATTGTGGAATCTGTGATCCTAATGCATGCAAGTTTTTCACAACATTGACAGCAAAATGGCAACTTGTATATCCTCCCTCCCCCAATTTAATCCAGATTTGCCCTGTCCATTAAAAACCCAGCATTTTAAAACAACAACACTCTGTTGCCAAAAAGCCATTCGCAATACACGAACAATCCATTTGCAATATTAAGCCTCCCTTTGAAAGCCCCCTTAGAATTGTTATCTCTGGCATACAGAGATGAACCAAGTTGTGAACAATCCAAAGGGGTGAGGAAAAGGGCTTAGTTAGAAGTAAACAAGGAGTTCTGATTTGGAAAAGGGAACAACCTAGATTCAGCAACTTTTCAGGGCCACAATACACTAAACTTTTCACTTAGTATTTAAAATAGTTCATTGGAAATTACATTAGCAGGTGCAGAGGATGAGAAGGATCAGAACTTTCCTTTTCTCCCCTACTGTAGTCTCACTCCCATCCCTTGACGCTGCTATTAGTTTCTGAGAGGATGGTTTCACTGGTACCATTTGAATTTTCCTCCTGGAGGTATTACTATTATTTATTATTACTTATTAAATTTTTATACCATCCTTCATCCGAGGATATCAGGGCAGTTCACAGCATAAAAATACAAAATAAAACCAGAAAATACATAATAAAAACAAGAATAAGAACAAAACAAACCAATACCCCCCCCAGACATATTTAAAAGGGCATAGAAGAGGAAAGTTTTCACTGGGTATCTAAAGATGTATGATGAAGGTTCCAGCTGAATCTCCCTAGAGAGAGCATTGCACAAATGGGGAGCAACTGCAGAAAAGGCCTGTTCTTGTGTTACCATTCTCTGGACCTCTCATGGAGGAATCACAAGAAAGGCCTCAGGTGGCTATTATTATCCTGCGATAGCTCAGCTGGTAGAGCATGAGACTCTTAATCTCAGGGTCGTGGGTTCGAGCCCTAAATTGTGCCAAAGATTCCTGCATTTCAGGGGGTTGGACTAGATGACCCTTGTGGTCCCTTCCAGCTCTACAGTTTTATGATTCTATTACGATTGCAGAGTCCAGGTTAATGTATACAAGATGAGGTGATTCTTGCAGTATTATCAGCTTTGGGGGAGGTGAATTTCGCTGGGAATAAGTTGGGAAGGAAAGGTTTAACCCCACAAGGTCTCGTGCATTTGCACCCCTCCTCACACACTCCTCTTATGCAATACAAGAGAAAACTTATTGCACTTGGCAAACCACAGTTTCCTGTTGCAACTGATCTTGGAAACTGTTTAATATTGGACTACAAACTACAATACGAAGCCAGCAGCTGATCACAATGTATGAAAAGAGGCAACATGTGCTGCCTACTGTCAGTCTTTAATTTTGCATGATTTCCAAAAGTTTGTTCTTAAAATCCTTTTTGAAAGAAACATCTGAATGCTCATATGCAGCATATTGGTGGTAAATGCTGCATGAGTGAATAAGGCAGCAGTTCTTTCCCCTCTGCACAACAGTTTAAATCAAATTTAATATTCATCTCTACTGCTCTCCTTGAGCAGTATAATCACTGAGGTGTCTAAACTCAGGTTTTGATGCATATTCTGTTTTCTTATCAGAAGCACACAAGGGGGCAGACTTCAAAAAATTGCTAGGAATATGAGGAACATGATTTGAAAGAAGTGTGTGTGTGTGTGTGTGTGTTATCCATGCATGTATCAAGGTTTATTACTGTTCCACAGTGACAATTGCTGTGGCTAAAGAGGTATTTTGACTCTCTGCACTACTCATTTGGGCAGGGAGAGGCAGCAAAATCTCGGATCAGGATGGTGGCTAGCGAGGCAGGCACAGTCAAGCTAAGGTTTCATGTTAAGATATTATCAGGGTCATTATTATCCATGTACTCAGCTCATGGCCCACTCGAAACAAGTGTTTTAATAAAATCCAGAAATTAAATACAGTACACATCCTCCCAGCAGAAAGTGTAGGAGTGAGCATTAGCTGTCTCCAGCTTTAGGCTATGGAGACAATTTAACAACCACTTAAAAGTTCTTTTTTTTTAAAGCACCATTATTTCCTCCTCTTCTCTAATGATGCATGCTATCCACTTGCTGCCCTTCACATATGCAGGATATTAACTCAAAGGCATTTCCATGGCTTTGGGTAGCAGACAGTGTCATGCTATGGGGGTTCTTTTAAGGCATGCTGATGAATGCAAGCCATAAAAGTGCTCTCCCTGGTCCATTCCCTTCATCTTCCTCCTGCCTTCCTACTTTAGGCTACTGTGTCATAACGAGACAACCCCAGGCACATCCTGGTGGCTAGGATGTGGGGGACAGGGTGTCTGTGTCACTCCCTTCTGATTCCTACAGCCTAGACAGTCTTTGCACACAGCTGCTAGGAACTGGCTGCCTTCCATAGCAATCATGGGAGTGTCTGGACATTGTATATTTTTCCATTCTTTTACTATTTTTTTTAGTAGCATATAGTAGGGTGTTCTTATTCACCAGGCAGGGTTAGGGGAGAGATTTTGAACAGGAAATCTAG